ATGGTCGGGGTTTTTTGAATTTTCTTGGATAACTACTGACTGCAGCACTTATATCCACCTCGTGGATTGAAGCCTCGAGAATGCTCTACCATTTGTTAGTCATAAATGTTACCTATGAATTTTTCAGAAAAAAAGAAAATTTTAGAAAGAGTGTCGCAGAACTTTCTTGCCAACCTAATATAAAAATTAAAAATAAGTTAACCAACAATAGAAAACGTTGTGAACCAACAATAGAAAACAATAAGCAACATATTTCGCAGTATTAATGAGCAAAAAGGACTTTCTGAGATATTGATTTTCCATAGTAATCGGCCCCAAAACTTCCTGAACTCAGAAAAGCGACACTAAGATATCCGGTACCTAATATGTAGATGGTTCGAAGGCAAATGATCAGTGATACAACCTAATCTCATCGTCAGATCGAAATCAATTGATACGGCTGAAAAACAATTAACATGGTCCGACATTGCTGGCGTTCTCTAGGGAGAACATACGTCTTCTTTGACGACATGCGAAACTTTAAAAAACATGGACGGCCTGTGCCCCCTGAAACTTGTCCAGACGGAGCTGCCATTCCTCAATTCAAGCCCTAAAGAAACCGGCACTTGTGAGAACCAACTTGCTCAATTCAGACCTGTTCCTTCAATATTCTTGATCTCCGCGCCGTGCATATCCACCGACACGCACGTTTCTGAAATCTCGTACATATGTATATTCCAGTAAAACAAAGTTTTCTGGACTGATTTTTTGCACACATTTTCAGGAATCAATACTGGGTCATCATCAAGCGTTCTCGTTTCGTCTTCCTCCTCTCAGTATGAGGAATGCTTCATTCAGTCGCATTCCGGACGAAGAGGTTAGCTTTCTTTATTTTTTCACTGCTTCATATTTCTCTTGAATTATGAACAATCGGACATCCTCGTGACTTCTGAAAGTATCTTAAATGACCGAAAGATTCTTCATGATCACCTGGCTATGCTATAGCGGCTGCGAAATTCTTGATGAGTTGCATGCGGAGTCTCCGCTGAATGGGCCATGGTCAAATCTAGCGGTTGCTAGGCAGTGACCCTCAAAGCATCTGAGACCTCATAACAATCGTAATTCGCACTTTTTAAGAACTACCTTTGCATCTTTCTATCACCTCAACTGCAACAGTAGGGTCCATAAAATAGGCCGGACTTAGACAACCATTCGGAAAGTTCCCGCCATTTTTAGTATTTCACCTTCGAACGCTTCGTTCCTGAATATCTTCAGATTTTTATTAATTATTTCAATTCAATTCCGCCACTTTATAACCATTAAAAAGCGTGTTCCCTATCCTGTCTAAATCTACCGTCATTTTACCTTGAAAAACTTTCCTTCTCTTTCTGAAGTCCTCAAGATGA